TTTTGCAGTGACTCTGCAGGGCAGCCGGCAGTCCAGAGAGCTCCCGTCCTTCCCAGGGTGGGAGGGCCCTGGCAGAGGCCGGGCAGATCCTGGGGGCCGGGCAGGACCTCCAAAGGCTGAGCACAGCCAGAGCGTGGAGCCTTGGGTGCAGTCTCAAGGCTGTGGGTGTCTCTCTGCAGGCCCTGGACGAGGAGTACCTCAAGGTTGATGCACAGTTTGGAGGAGTTGATCAGAGGAAGATATTCACCTTTGCAGAGAAGGTGAGGAACGGGGGTGTTTCTGAGCCACCTGCGATGCTGGTGCCTGGCTCGGGGCTCGAACACTCGCTAATCCATTGGGAGAAGGGTGTCTGTGATTTCAGTTGTTACCACAGTGCCCTTCACAGCTCCTGCTGTTGCTCTCGGGGTCTACAGGGCTCTGGTGTGCTGCCACCCCTCCCTGGCTGTGGTTGTCAGCACCTTGGGAACTCGCGATAGCTTTCTGGGTCCCCAAGTTATGTGGAGCCAGGAGCAAACGGGGATTGTGAGTTAAAGCTGATCTTCAGAAGAGGATTGTCCATGACTTGCTTCCTTGCTTTTTCCCAGTACCTTCCTTCCCTGGGCTATGCCAAGCGCGTCCATTTGATGAACCCGATGGTTCCTGGTCTGACAGGCAGCAAAATGAGCTCGTCAGAAGAGGTTGGTCCCTGAACGGTGGCTGTGGGCAGGGGTTCTACGGGGGGACGGGTTAACAGCTGGGGGCGGAGAGGCTGCACCCCAAGAGAAGGTGACTTCTCTCTGCTCACACTGGGGTCTAAGAAGAAGTTGCAGCAACTCCAGCATGAGTCATGTCTTTCGGGCAAGAGGTTGGGTAAAGGGCTGCGGAAATCTCTTCCTGCAGGACTCAAAGATTGACCTTCTGGACCGCAAGGAGGATGTGAAGAAGAAGTTGAAGAAGGCTTTCTGCGAGCCAGGAAATGTGGAGAACAACGGTGTCCTCTCCTTCATCAAGCATGTCCTCTTTCCCCTCAAGTCGGGTGAGGGGCTCACCACGCTCGGGCACTGGGGATAAGAGGAGGGGACGGGAGCGTGTCCCCCCTGAAGCAGGCTGCCCTTGAGCATCCCCTCCCCAGCCCCTGCTGCGGTCCCCCTCGGCTCTTGGGCTAAGTGGGATGGGTGGTTTATCTGCCTGAGCAGGGGGTGAGTCTCCACTTGGGTTAATCTGAGCCTTAAAATCTGTATTGCAGAGTTTGTGGTTCTGCGAGAAGAAAAATGGGGAGGAAACAAAACCTACACAGCCTACGAGGCCCTGGAGAAGGACTTTGCTGAGCAGGTGAGTGCCGGGAGGGACTGAACCCTCTCCCTGAGGCTTCTGAGAGCAAGCTGGGGGGCTCCGAGCAGCAGTGGGAGATGGAAATCTGCACCGGGGGAAAGTGAGGAGCAGAGCGCGGCCCAGCAGCGGCAGGGTGGCAGGGTGCTCCCGGCCCGGAGAGCCCGAAGCTGAGAGGATGGGTGAAGGATGTGGGGGCACCAGCTGTCCCGGTGCAGGACAGAACCACGCTGGCCACATCCTGGAACAGAGCAGCAGTTTAACTGTTTTCAGCTGTTCCCAGCTGATGCCACAAGCAAAAGCGTCCAGAAGAGGGGCTTTGTTTTCCGAGGGGGAATCAGACCAAGTGCTGGGGTTCATCTCCCCACCCTGTGCGGTCTCTGGTTCCTATCTCTCTGGACTCAGATCAGTGACACGAATTCTGCTGCTCCCCGTGCCCTGGAGGAAACCATGCAGGAACCTGTCTGTTTGTCACGATACAGGTCGTGCATCCCGGAGACCTGAAGAATTCGGTGGAAGTGGCCCTGAACAAACTGCTTGACCCCATCAGAGAGAAATTCAACAGCCCGGAACTGAAGAAGCTGACCAACGCAGCGTATCCCAACCCGTCCAAAGCCAGTAAGGAGGCGCTGGGAGCTCGGGGAAGTGGGGCCCTGGCCATGCGGGGCTGGGTGGGAGGGAGTCCCTCCAGGGGCTGAGGTTACAGAGAAGTTCTGAAACTTCAGTCTCAGGAGCAGTCCCGGAGAGCATTGGGAAGGGTGAGGAAAGGTCAATGCCAGGGGTGTTTGCCTGCCCCAGAGAGGACGGGTGCCAGCGTGCTTCTCTGGTGCTTGAGAGGCCGGCAAAGCGGAGGAGGGACTGTGCTCTGTGGTATAGAGACAAGCAGGGAACTCCGCGGGCCCCAGGGCCAGCATTTGGGGGTCACTGTGTGCTCCCCAGGGCCTGGCCAGCTCCCTGGGCTTCTGCTGCGTGGCACAACTGTTCCCTTTGCACTGCAGAGCCTGCAGAGAAGGGTACCAAGAACTCGGAGCCGGAGAACGTGGTCCCATCCCGGCTGGACATTCGCGTTGGCAAAGTGATCAGTGTGGAAAAGGTGTGGGCACAGTGGGGCGAGGGGAGTAACCTTCCCACGTGGTGACATGGGCACTCGGTGTGTGTGTGGGGTCTGCCCCCTTCTGTGCCCCCCCAGTCCCCTCCCCTGCTCCTCACCTTGCTTCTGCTTGGCAGCACCCGGACGCCGACAGCCTGTACGTGGAGAAGATCGATGTGGGCGAGCCTGAGCCCCGCACTGTGGTCAGCGGCCTGGTGCAGTTCGTCCCCAAGGAGCAGCTGCAGGACAGGCTGGTGGTGCTGCTTTGCAACCTCAAACCCCAGAAGATGAGGGGTGTGGAGTCACAGGGCATGGTGCTGTGTGCCTCCAGGTGAGGGAGGGGGGCGTCGGGGCCGTACCCTTCCAGGGGCGCGGTCCAGACCCTTCTCCTGCCCCAGAGCTCGGCGGTGCTGGGGGGCAGGTGGGTACCTCCTCGGGGTGACTCTGCTTCCTCTGCACCCCTCTGCAGTGTGGGGGAGCCGCGGCAGGTGGAGCCCCTGGACCCACCGGCCGGGTGCTGCGCTGGGGAACGCGTCTACGTGGAGGGCTACGAGGGCGGGGAGCCCGACGACGAGCTCAAGCCGAAGAAGAAGGTCTTTGAGAAGCTGCAGGTGAGGGGCTGCGTCGGGGGGCCGGGCCACAGCTCTGAGTAGCTGGGGCTCCAGGCATCAAGGGGGCAGTGCTTAGGGCCATATAGATGCCACTGTCCCCACCTCTGGGTGACTCCAAATTAGCTATTTGCTGCTCAGTGCCTGTGTTTGCTACTGTCAGCAAAGCCATGGAGGAGACAAACCTCCCCACCGGCCGAGCAAGGCGCCGCTGCCCCGCTGGCAGCCCAGGCCTGACCCTGCCTCCCCTGCTCTGCTCCCCAGGCCGATTTCCGCGTCTCCGAGGACTGCGTCGCCCAGTGGAAGCAGAGAAACTTCCTGACCAAGCTGGGGAGAGTCTCCTGTAAAAGCCTGAAGGGAGGGACCATCAGCTAACAAGCACCAGAGCCACTGCTCGCGCCTCCTGCCTGGCCCCCTCCACCACCTGAGCCAGGCTCTCCTCCCCGGTCTCTGCCATCTCCTCCCCAGTGCCCCGAGCCGGGGGCTCAGCCCTGGGGGCTCTGGGACTGAATTTGCAGCCTCCCACCCGGGGAGCTGCCTCCGACATCCCCCTGGCCCTGGGGCTGCTCAGCCAGCGTCCGTGCCTCGGCTGGGGCCAGCGCTGGGGACCGGCGGTGGCACCGCACCTAAGGGACCTGTGTGACTTGTGCCCGTGGCCTCAGGCTCTATGCTGGGGCCATCGGCTCGCTCCCAGTTTTGCCACGGACTGGACGCCCTGCCCGCTGCTCCCGACTGGCGGTGAGGGCAGAGAGGGAAGGCTGCTTGCTCAAACCTGTGTTGCTGCTAACGGAGCTGGGGGCAGCTGCGCCTGGCAGCCAGGCGGGCCCCGTCCCCAGCTCTGCCCGGGCTCCGTGGCCCCGGGGCTGGGGCCGCTGCTGGTGCTGCTCCCTGGCCAGGAGCCCAGGCAGCACTGCGGGTCTGTCCTGAGCCCGTGGGAGGCCGTGGCGGGGCGTGGGCCTTAAACACTGACTTGGGAACCATCTGTCTGTCGTAAACCCAAATAAAACGTCGCGCTGACTGCGCCCGGGTGTGTCCATCTGTCCGGGGAGAGGCGGGTGAGCTGGCAGCCAGCCCCGCGCCTCTGTTTTAGTGCTGCCCGAGCCCCGTGCCCACCTCGTGTGGGCAGCGGTGCCGTGAGCTAGCCCACTCGGCAGCTGTGCCAGCCCCAGAGCTCGACACTGCCGGGAAGCTGCCACGCGTGGTGAGGCCGTGGCCGTAAACGAGGAAGCACAGGAGGCAGCAAGCTTCGGTCATCGTTTTTACCAGCCAGGTACAGAGCTCTGAGCAGCTGCTCGGCGGCAGAGGGTTGGTTGCTTTTGGTTTGGTTTGTTGTTGTTTTTTTTTTTACAATCAAAGAAATCAAAATGTGACCCGAGTTTACAGAAATACAAATCGAGGCTCTACCCCAGGGCCTGAAGACCAGCTCGTGGGGCAGCCAGGCTCCCCCTCCACCCTGCGGCCAGCGGACAGAGAGCGGTGCTGGCCAAGAGTCCCCTCTTGCCTTTCCACCAAGCGCCGAGGCCCCGGTCCCTCCCAACCAGCGCCTCCGTCCCATCCTGCTGCTCCTGCCCGTGTCCCCCCGGGCACTGCCGTGGCCGAAGCCTTCCCCTTCCCTCCTCCAAAGTGCTTCGATTCCTCGCGGGCCCGACTGGCAGGGAGCAGAGCGGCTCCGGCTCCGGCTCCAGCGTCTTTGGCCCCCGCGCTCCTCTCCGCACGCGCAAACCAAGCGGCGGCCGGGCAGGGAGGTGCTGGCTCTGGGCACGGGCCTTGAGTCCAGTTTAAAAAAAAAAAAAAAGGCAAAATAAAGCTGTAGTACTTAGGAAAGTGAAACCAACACCATTTTTGCATAAATATCATCAAGGCCGTGGAGGCTAAGGCTGTTTGCTTCTTGTATTAAGTTAGTTGCCAGTTCCACACTCATCTGTTGACCTGCCCAGGTCCCTGAGAGATTTGGATTCCCGTCCGCGGGGGCACCCGTCCTGCAGCTTCGTCCTTCAGGCCGTCTCTCCCCGTCCGTCTGCAAGGCAGGAGGGAAGAGCCCATCAGCCACCCTGAGCCCCGGCTTCCCACAGCCCTGCCCCAAGTCTGGCCCCGTGGCCGGGCTCTCCCAGCTGTCCCAGTGCCACCCCAGCCCCAACACGGCCCATGTGCTGCGCTGGGAGCCTATAGCTCAGGAGCCCATAGCTCAGGAGCCCGAGCACCTACAGCAGCATCGTGGTGGGGCTGAACCGGGCCCCCATCCCACCTACCTTGTGCAGGGAGGCTCTGAGCCGGCGGCTCCGCGGTGCTCCTGCCCTCCGTCCCCGAGGCCGCCGTCCCTGCCGGCTCACTCTTAGTCCTGCTCTCGTCTGCCGGCACTGCCTTGGCCTTCCCATCCGGCACAGGGGAGGCCAGCGCCTCTGCCCCCGGCGCCTTTGGGCTCAGGGGGGAAGGAGCCGGCCCCGGGCCAAGTGAAGGCTTCCTGGCTACCGGAGGGGGGATCTTGCCAGGTTTTCGGTGGACTTGCGCCTTGCCGGGGCCCTCCTGGGCGGCAGCCGGGGCTGCCGAGCGCTGCCCCGAGAAATTCATCAGCTCGGCCACCAAGTTCCTCTTCAGGTCAGCCTGCGCCTCGGGGGACGAGGCCGTCTCGATCACCGGCTTCCTGGAGCTCTTGGCGAAAATGAAGCTGGCAGTGGAGGCCGGCGACTTGTTCCTGGGGGAGAGCTGACCGTCCCCGGGGGGCCCCTCAGGGCCGGGCAGAGCCGCTCTGCTGCCCGCCGGCTTCTCCGCAGCCTCACCGGAGGACAAGGCGGCAGCCTTGAGGTGCACAGCGTGGTGGAGCTGGTTCGAAGGCACCGCGTCTTTGGCAGGAGGGGGCTGCCGCGTGGACAGGGACCGGCGGGGGGGCCCCTGGGGTGCCGGCCGCTCCTCGGCACCAGCACCGGCACTGGCTCCTGCGGGCGGCTCCACGTTCACAGAGCGCAGCCGCACCATCTGCAGCAGCGAGGGCGTGACGATGGGCAGGCTGGCGTCCTCCTTGGGCACGGGGCTGCTCTTGCTCCGCGACGCTGGCTCCTTCTTGGCGTCTGCCCGGGGGCCGTTGGCCGCCTTCTTAAGGCTGGTTTGGGGCGGCAGAGCCGGAGCCGAGGGCGGGGGAAGAGGTGGCGGTGGTGGCGGGGTCACAGCAGCCTCAGGAGGGGGCTCGGCGGGGGAAGGTGGCTGTGGTGCGCCGGCCGGCGGGCCTTGCTGCTGGCTGTGCGAGGAGACAGCAGCTGAGAATGAGGAAGATGCAGCCCCTGGGCTCGGTGCCACTTTCTACCCGGCCGCCGGAGCCAGTGCGGCATCGGGC